TCTAGTCAAGGCTCTAGTTTTTCCAGTGGTACAGTATGGATGTGAGAGTTGGACTGTGAAGAAAACTGAGTGCTGAAAAATTGATGTTTTTGAAGTGTGGTGTTGGAGAAGACTCTTGAGAGTCCCTTGGACTGCAAGGAGATCCAACCAGTCCATCCTAAATGAGATCAGTCCTGGGTGTTCATTGGAAGGTCTGATACTGAAGCTGAAACTCCAGTACTTTGGCCACTTGATGCAAAGAGCTGACTCATTTGAAAAGACCCTGATGCTGGGAAAGATTGATGAGAAGGGGACGACAGAGGATGAGATGGTTGGATGGCGTCACTGACTCAATGGACATGAGTTTGGGTGAACTCTGGGAGTTGGTGATGGACAGGGAGGCTTGATGTGCTGCTGTCATGGGGTCACAAAGAGTCAGACATGACTGAGCTACTGAAATGAACTGAACATGAATCCTGTCTGCATGCTTACTTGACTTCTTTTATTTCTTGTTGCTGCTTTAGAGTTTTTAGAGTTGTGAGATTTTGAGTAGAGTTGATTACAATTTCTTATTCAAATCACATACGTAATTCTGTAGAAGTATGTTTATTTATATGGCTAAAATGTCATGATATATATTATTAGTAAGTTATCAAGTGAAAAAAAAAGGCTTCAAAAAATAGAATTTAGTTTTTGTTAAAAAAAAAAAAAAATAAGGACCACAGTGTCCATGGCAGTTGTCTTTGGCTGATAAGTGATACCACTATAGAAGTTCTTTTTTGGTTTTCCTACTTGCTTCGAGCACTAAAAATGGATAAAAATAAATTGTTAAAGATAAATACACACATATAAACATTTTCTGTGACTTTCCCATCCACTAAAAAAAATTCAGATTAATCGTGTTTCAAAGGCAGAATTTGAAACTAGTTTTAATAAGTCAGTTCTTTATATGATATTCCTTAGTCATTGTCAATTAATTATTAATTTTTTAATAAGGATTGGAGATTTAAATGTTCTATAGAGTTCCAAATGTAGCATATATTAAATAGCAAATATTAAATCAATGAAAGTGTATTTTAGTAGCTATTTTTACCCATTATGTTCACACAGATGGGATCACAAAACGCTCAAAAGTCTCCTGCTTTGGGACTGCTGAGCCTGGAGTTTTGCTAGCTTTCTTGAGTAGCTTGCAGTGCCGTCTTGCACGTTACACCTACTGTCCTTCTGGCCACTGTATGGGCTTTGGCTGAGCTGGTTTCTGAGGTCCCTTTCAGTTGCTTCTTCTTCCTCAGTGAGCACCCGGCCCCTGGCTCAGCTAATTCTGGTTGTGGCTAAGGTTGGCTTTGTTGCATAGTGGTTGCTCCCCCTGCCTCTGCCCCGCTGACTCCATTCATCACCTCCAGCTCCACTCCCTCTCAATTTTGAAATCATTTGCTCTGACTCTGGAAGCCAGAGCAGGCAGTCCCTCCCTTCAGTCTTGGGCTGGAGGGAATTCAGGAAGCGGCATGTGACAAAGCGTCACTCGTGTTTACCAAGGGCCTGTGGTGTGTGCACAGCTCAGGACAGCTTCCTGGCTGCTCTTCGGCAGCACGCAGATGCCAGGGGAGCTAAGACATGCCAGTAATTAACCAAAATAGGGGACACACAGCCTGGAGACCATGGTGTTCAATTACTTATCTTTGTGTTCTAGTTTAATCATTTAAACTGAGTCCTCTCCTCTTAAAAACACCTACCCAGCAGAGCTTGTCATCCAAACATACAACTTGAAGTCCCTTTGCTACTCACCCTAGCAGCAGAAATGAGTCACTTACTCCAAGATCCTCATCTCTCCCTTCATCTGATTAGAAGGAAGGGCCAAATGAGGGTCAGGTATGTGTGTGTATGTTTTAACTATGTACAAATGCACCTTTTTTTTTTTCATCTTTCCATCCCACTAATCTGACTTGGATTAAAAGTGAACAGAGAGCAAAATAAAGAATGAAATAAAGAATAAAAGAATAAATAAAAGAATAAAAGAAAAGAATAAAAAACCAAATCATAAGATCAAGTTAGTAAGGAAAAATTAGCATGAGTACAGAGCTCTCCTTAATTCTGGATAACCTAAAATATTTCTAGTATAAATCATGAATATACTTTTGTAGGAAATAGTTACTACTGGTATTACTGAAAATTATTTCTAGTTTGTAAAAAAAGGTATTCTTACTAAAAACATAAAGCACACATGTATGCAAAATTGAGTACGTGGATGTATATAGAAATAAATATGTTGTGCTTAGTTGTTCGNTGTATCCAACACTTTGTGACCTCATGGACTGCAGCCCACAAGGCTCCTCTGTCCATGGGGATTCTCCAGGTAAGAATACTGGAGTGGGTTGCCATGCCCTCCTCCAGGGGACCTTCCCAACCCAGGGATCAAACCCTGGTCACCCTCATAGCAGGCGGACTCTTTACCATCTGAGCCACCAGGGAAGCCCAGAAATGAATATATGTATAAATAAGTAAATGCATAAAAAGACTGGAATGATGCACACCAAGCCAAAGTTATCATTCCAGGAAAGGGAAATGAAATGAGGCAAGTGGGGATTTTGGATGAAAATATTTTTGATGTATCTCAGTATTGAGTTTTTTTTTAAAAAAATTGGTGAGCATATCTAACTATATCACTAGAATACTTAAAAAAAAATATCTTTGTAGTATGGGGTATTGGGTGGGGAGAGGGCAGGGAGGGTTGCCTCCATAATCGTTAGTCTTCTGGCCCATTTTACAGTTGGTTGCATGGGTGATTTTATCTTGGTGGGGTGGGTCTCATCTTCAGCCTGAGGGAGTGGGAGAAGCAGCCAGGTGTAGCCAAGTGTCCGCACGCTTAGTCCTTTAGTTCTGCCCGGCTTTTTGTGACCCTTTGGACTGTAGCCCGCCAGGCTCCTCTGTCCATGGGATTTTTCAGGCAAGAATACTGGAGTGGGTTGCCATTTTCCTCCTCCAGGGGATCTTCCCAACCCAGGAATCGAACTCTTGTCTCCTGTGTCTCCTGCATTACAGGCAGATTCTTTACCCGCTGAGCCTTTGCAGAAGTCAGGTGGGGGTGGGGTAAGAGGAAGTGGGGAGTTAGGCCTGGAGTCAGAGAAAAGGGAGGTGAGGTTGTGGTTAGGGGAGGGAGGAAGAATGAACTTCAAGGAGCCAAGGAGAAGCGCTGGCAAGAGCTTTAGGAACCTCTCCTAGTTGTGGTTCCATTAATGATTAGGCACAGCTCTGGTCATTTATTTTCATCAGCACTTACTGACTGCCTTTAAGTCTAGATTGCTTTAATAGGACAGATGACAAACTGTTTCCCACCTGTGGGTTTTCTTCGTGCCAGTCTTGCTTGGTTTTCCCTGGCTTTATTTTGTGATCAGAAAAGGAGTTGGAATTCTGAAAAGTTGCTTTAGCCAAATGCTGGGAACAAAGAGAACCTTGTTACGCACATCAGCTTTTGGAGGGGTTTAATTTATCAGCTCGGATCTCTGCCTTTCAAGTCCTTGCTCTGGTTAGCACTGTGTTTCTCTGTCCGTGGAGGGGCAAACCTTCTGGAGAAGCCAGACCCACTGCTTGTGCACCCGGCTCTGATTACACAAGTAAGCTCAGTCTGGCCAGAGGCAGGCCCTCGTGGTCCTAAGTGGCATCCATAGTGAGTCCAGAAGAGGGAGACAAGCTTTGTTACTATGTTTGGTTGGCCCCCGGCTACATGGACACGTTATGGTTTCTGAGATCTCCATGGACGGATCATAACTGTAGTCCTCTGGAGTGGTGTTGACTTAAAAAGTCAGGGAATGACAGTCACCCTTCTGTTATCACCTCCCCTCCTGCAATTGAGCTTTCCTGAAAAGCGACCAGCTTGGACTGGTTCGAGTCCTGGCTGAGTGGGAGAGCCCTGGAGCACAGAATCCAGTCTTGAAACTCGTTCCCTGGTGGTGGATTGGTTTTCCCCCAGGACAGCGGTACCTTTGAGCCCTGTAAGGCGCTATTAGAAAAAGCTCCAGCGGTGGTGTGTTAAAGGACCTTCTCCTGGGTGGGAAAACTTTGGGGGAATTTCTTGGGGCCTGGGGGGTACCAGCTCCCCGCGTGGAGGAGGTGGGAGCGCTGTGTACCGCCCCCGAATGCCTGGGGCCTGAAAGCATCAGGCGGCCAGTGTGGGCATGTGGCTGCCACTTTCTTCATTTCTTGTCTCTTTCTGTTTCCCTTGACAGGGCAATTTGGTTTTGATGCTGTGCCAGGAATCTCCTGACAATGAGTTACTGGAACTTGGAGAAAAGGAGTCGTGTGCAGTACCGCAGGCATTTTCTGGTGGACAACAGTCTGTTTCATGGTCAGTTGCCTTTTCTACTCCTGTAGTTGGACCTTTTGTTTCCGACAGCACTTTTATTCCAGCACTCCGGATGCAAATGTGGTATAACTATTGGGTTGAACCAAGAGCTTGAGTTAACTTGCTGATGAAAAATTGCCCAAGAAGCCCCACAGGACTCCTTGCCCACCATTGGAATTGGCATGCCTCACCGCAACAACCGTAACCGCATCATCACTTTCTACCTTGAAAGTTAGTTTGTGTCAGGCCTTTCCTCTTCTTCTGTGCTGTCAACTCCAGTCATATTCCTTCCTTTCTGATGTTTGAAATTTGAGGGGCTAGACCCACAGTTAGTATTCAGTTAATATTGGTGGATCATCAATCAGGGCTTATAACCAGCCTGGTGTGTGCGTTCTCTCAGGCACCATATAGAACGGAGCAGGTCACGGCACGTAACTGGGACAGGGTGGACGAGTGCGGCTGTAAATCAGAATGGTCAACATTCGTCATTTTCGTGTAACAGGGCGGATGAGTGTGGCTGTAAATCAGAATGGTCAACATTAGTCATTTTCATGACAAACTAAGATGAATTGCTGTTACCCTGCTGATAGACAGTTAGGGATAAACCGTCAATCCTAATATCAGGATGCCCTTGGGTGAAATTGACTCAAGACTTGAGACGCATGTGTTGGCAGGATTTTGGGAATGATCTCCATCAAGAGCTAGCGGAACTGTATCGAGAAGAGAGATTTCATGAGGAGTGGAATGCTGCCGCCAGAAACCTTAACCTAAGCTGCCTTCCCCTCTGTCAGTTTGGTTTCTCTTCCTCAAGTTAGTGCAGACATAATCTTTTTTTTATTGTTTTAAATGAACTTTAAGATAAACTTTACTTTGTCAAAGCATGCTTTACCATTTTTTTTTTTTCATATTAATTATACCACCTTGCTATGGAACTTTGCTCGGTAGAGGATGCCTTCATTTACAGGTCAGAAAAGGAGGAAGAGAGGAAAAGACCAGCCCAAGTTGGCATAACCAGTTATTAGCAAAGTCAGATCTAAAATTTTAGCCTCTACCCTTCCAGGCTGACTCTCTCTCGGCATTGTATCAGTGAAGACCTCTTAGCAAAGGAGATGAAAATGTTGTGACTTAACACTTTGGCACTGAGTTCTGCTTTGTTTTCCTGTGAGCCTCATCTAAGGACCCTGTTCCTAGCATCTTCTCTATACAGTGTTTGCTGTTAAAAATTTACAAATTTGTTTGCTGTTACAAAGTATGGTGTTTTCTGTTACAAATTTACTTGTAATAATAAAAAAAATGATAATCAAGGAAACACAAGAGTTAGAAAAATTGCATTCTTTTTCCAAGTTTTGTGCAAGTTTTGAAAAAGTTCAGGTTTTATTCATTTGTTATCTTAGAATACCTTTGTCCAGACATTTAAGGCTCTAACAACCTAAAAACAATTTTCTGTGGATTTTTATAGTTGTGTTACCACTTAGTGAATTACTGTATTGTTGGTAGTTATGCTGATGGCTTGAGAAACACGGTCCTACCAAATCCTTTTAACACCTTTGCCATAGTTATTATTCATCCCATTTTATGGAAAGGGAAAGAGATTTGCGGACTTTGCAAAGTGGTGATCTAAAATCAAGCTCATATCTGCTTAACTCCAGAACCCCACTGTTTTCTTCCAGGCTCCATCTCCATTTTAAGAGAGCAATTAACATTCTGAGAGGTTGAAGTTCTATTCAGCAGTGTTTGCTCGGCTATTAACTAACCATATCTGATCTTGACCAAGTTATATAATCCTTCAGATCTCAGTTTTCTCCTCGGTGAAATGAGTGTGCCGTTTTCCATAATTTTTTAGATTCTTTCCAGTTCTGGTCTCTGAGATTCCATAAGTATTTCTGAGGATGACATGTGTGTGTTTTTCGTGAGCCGTCTTGTCTCTAAACATGAGATACACAAGGGGGCAGCAGAATACTTAGAATATAAGTTGGTTCCTTCTTACATTGAAAAATTACTCTTTTGAGAGGATTTAGAGATAGCAAATCACCTCAAGATTAAAAGGATTAAAACCAATTAGAATTATGATTCTCTTCATTAATAATAAAGCAGTAACCTTAAGTATTTCTGATAGTATAAAATATCATTTTGGATCTCTGTGCCAAAGGCTGTGTAATTCAGGAAAGAATGATGCTTCTGCTCTTGCGCTGTGTTTACCTCTGTGGAAAAGTAATGCCTGTGAAGACAGGGGTTTATTTAACTGAAGGGAGAATTGTGAGGCTTCTTAGTGTATTTTAAGCCAAGGGAGCACTCGTGATATCATTTTTATAGAGAATGTCTAAACATTTCCGAGAAAAGATAGGGGACAGGACGCGTTGAGTTAGAAAGGTCAGATTTCTTTTAGAGGAGCTTCTCCAGGTCTGCTGGTAACTCTCCTAACATAACCAAGGCAAACAAAAAGAAACAAAACCCCATTCATTATAAACAGAAAAGAACCATTTCCTCTGCAAGATAAGAGATGTTTAGAATATGCATACTTAAGTAGTATTCCCAGGAGGAAAGAGCCAGGTTAAAATGAGGTGGGCTGCTCTGGTGGCTCAGTGATGAAGACTCCACCTTGAATGATGGAGATCTGGGTTGGGAAGACCTCCTGGAGGAGGGCATGGTAACCCACTCCAGTATTTTTGCTGGGAAAGTCCCAGGGACAGAGAAGCCTGGCAGGCTATTGTTCATGGGGTCGCAAAGAGTGGGACATGACTAAAGCCACTCAGTTCAGTAGTTCAGGCATGTCCAACTCTTTGCGACCCCATGAACTGTGGCAGGCCAAGGCTTCCCTGTCCATCACCAACTCCTGGAACTGACTCAAACTCATATCCATCCAGTTAGTGATGCCATCCAACCATGTCATCCTCTGTCGTCCCCTTCTCCTCCTGCCCTCAATCTTTCCTAGCATCAGGGTCTTTTCCAGTGAGTCAGTTCTTTGCATCAGGTGGCCCAAGTATTGGAGTTTTAGCTTCAGCATCAGTCCTTCCAGTGAATATTTAGGACTGATTTCCTTTAGGATTGACTGGTTAGATCTCCTTGCAGTCCAAGGGACTCTCAAGAGTCTTCTCCAACACCACAGTTCAAAAACATTAGTTCTTTGGCACTTAGCTTTCTTTATGGTTCAACTGTCACATCCATAAATGACTACTGGAAAAACCATAGCCTTGACTAGATGGACCTTTGTCGGCAAAGTAATGTCTCTGCTTTTTAANGTTCTCATTGGAAACAATGCAGAAAATTACCCACAATCCCACAAACCAAAGAGTAACACTAACCTTCAGTTTCTGTCCAGTCTTTTATCTTTTCTCATTTTTGCAACAGTCCTGACCTAGGAATAGAATATTTTGAACAGGTAGGAAATGGAGGGTGCTGGCTAACAGTAATGAGCTGGTTGAATTGACTTAATTCTGTGTCGCTGAGGAGAAGACCTCTGGTAGGAATCATGATGAGGTTTTTTTTTTTAATTTTAATTTCCCACTTGTCTGTCCTTTGCCCCGATTTTTAGTGAGTCTGTTGAATCCAAAGGGATTATAAGCCTATCAAAGAAGCCGATTGCTAGAGGCTTTTTCTAGTTGGATTTGTTTCTAATTTGTTTGATGTAGAGAAAAAACTTGGGCAAAGAATTATTTGTTCTGTATGAACCTTGCTTTAATGGCTTATATTTTTGTAAATTGTTCTCATTTGAAACTGACCTGTATCCTCAGCTCTTTCTCTTGGCTGTCATGAATTGCTTCATTTTTTTCTGACTTAGGACACAGATTCTTAAACCAATTGTCAGTATATTTGCTATTTAACATATGTAATTTCTAATGTACATAAACTTTTTCAAACATTTGAGCTTCTCCAAGTCACCTTGGAGGTGACTTAATATTTATTTCTAGCACTGCGTGTTATAATTGTGATATTAGAAAAGCAACCTAAGTAAGATTCTTATTTGACTGTAAAATTTGTAGTTACCTTTGCACTGGCAAAAAGCAGCATGTCCCTTTGGGGGGAGGTGGTTGGGTGTGTGTGTGTGTGTGTGTATGTTCCTAAGTCCTTCCTGACCATAGGCAGACCAGTAGCAAGGACTGACAGGTTTTTAGGACAAATGTCATTTATTCACAGAAGAAGAGTGGTGAGGTTTACCTCACTGGAATTCCATACTGTCAGATCCTGCCTGGTAAATATGCAAGGAGAATGAAGTTATATAGAAGTGAATTAGGGTTCTCATTAATTTAGGCCAGTTTATTAGCAAGTTATGACTTAAGCAGCCTGCCTGCTTTAGGGGTTTTGGGCATTACTACCTATTATTATTTTTTTTAATAGAGTATCGTTACTTTACTGAATTTACCGGAAAAGCCTAGCTTTTCCAGCCAATGACTATATAAACATACTCTTCAATACCAGTGCATAGAGAATACCTACTAATGTAATGATAGTCAAGATATTGTGGGCATCATTAAGATCAAAAGTATCATTTCTTGGAGAGGAACACTACATGGAAAAAATTTCAAAGACAAATTGAGACAAAGAGTTTAAAAAAAAAGGCCTTAAAGGAGAGAATGTATAATATATATAAATGTTGTAAATTTAATAGAACTAATTTTGGAAGTAGCTTTGCCCAGTGGATTCCCCTTTAGCCCCATACTCAGGCAGAAAGCATGGAGGACAGGTCTGTAATGTTAAGGGCATCTTGCAAATAGCCAGAGGCCGTGAAGGCTCAGCAAAGAGAGCGAGGCCTCTTGCAGGGGTCACCTCCAACTGGGTTGCTGTAAACTTTGTGCTTTGGACCAAGTTTCCATGTCAGCAAATGCTGCTATTTAGGACAGATGACCTCTAAACTTCTCCCTAAGTGTTAAAATGTCAAGAAATGCTTGTTTCCCCACCTCCCCTCCTCAGGCCACTTTTAAATAGAGGCTGTTTGAGGAATTTGCTATGAATTAACTGACCATCATTGACTCAATAGACATAAGTTTGGG